ATTAGATTACAGGGAATTTAACGACGGTTTCCTTTAGGACATTATTATAGGCAAGACTGGGATTAAGACTGAAAATAATTTTACGCCGTTAGAAATATTTAGTAGAGCAAAGGGAGCGTCGTTTAAATTAAGAAATTAAATCGCGAAGTCGATGTAGGTTGATTACGCGAAGTATTTAAGGGATAGAGGGGAGGTATAGAATGGAAATGTAGTATTTAGGGGAGAGATTGGTTAATATAGATAAAATCCTAATTTAAAAATAAATAATATAAATTACCCCTCTTATAATAAAATATATAATTTTTTATCAAATTAATTAGAATCGATTATTTATATTAAAAATTTTAAAAATTTTAATATATTAAATATAGTATTTAAAAAGCAAACTATATTATCCTACGCGGGAACTAATATAATGCGCAAACCTAAAAAAAATTTTAAAACTACTAAAATAATAATTATATTTATAAATAAGTTCGTATTGTAATATACTCAACGGCAATCGATTTAGAATCGTAGCGCGAATAAATATATTTATTTTCTATGTGGTGAAGTGTAAGATATTTATTTATATTGTAATGTTGTTAAAATGTTGAAATTCACGCTACCTTAATACCTTTATTAAATTCTATGCACTAATATAGTGTAAACCAATTAATATAGTAAATATAGCGTATGTACGTTGTAAATGCTTTGTAATTAATACGTTGAAATTAATTAGAATATTCCTATTTATCTTCCTTGTTTAATTCCCTTCTTAAACTTTCGAAATATTTTTTATAACTATTGCTAAGTAATAAGTAAAACCTTTTTGCTGCTCTTTTAAATTCTTTCTAATAATTTATCGCCTTTTCCGCGACTGTTGCATTAATATTTTTATAATATTAGCGGTTATAAATATCTATCGCCTTCGTTAATTATTTAGTATCCGTATTAATAAATAACCTTTTACTATTAAAGGAATTAATGAGATGGGTAATATATATAACGAGTACTTTATTGTAAAAAACTTTCTACTCTTTCTTAGGGTCCTTCCTATTATTTGCCGACCACTTTTAACTATTAGGAACATAAATAGGTACCGGTATTTCTTTCTCGTCATCGTCTTTAAAAAGTTGGGGGTCGATTAATATATTTTATTTACATAATAGTAAATCTACTATAATTAACAATTAGGAATTATTTGCCCTACGGTTGTTAGCAAATACCCCTTTTATAAGAAATAAGTTAGTAAGAGGTTTAATACGGAAAATAATAATCGAAGGGTATTTTTATACTATTAAAAATTAATACGAATTTATACTATAAGAGGATTACTTAATAATAACGTACTTTTATTAATTCATTTTAGGAATTACTAGAAGTAATAACGATACTAATCTTTAAATTAATATTGAAACTAAAAACACCTTATACTAGTTGCTAAATATATTATTTTATTTTAAAGTAGCTAACTTTATTGCATACTTATACCTTATTAAACGTATAATTACCTTTAAGTAGTAAATTAGTAATAATTTAGCTATAAATTTACTCTTTGAAGCTATTATACCCAGCTTGACTAACTTCGATTATACGTAAGAGAATTTTGAGGAGGAGCTTCTCCTACGCTTCAGTCTAGAAGGTAACCTCCTTCTTATTGGGGTTATCCTTCTTTTTACCCTTCTTATTACTAATTGAAAGTATAAATAGGAATTAGGAAGAGGGTATACTTAACGGTTCAATTATTTAGGAGGGTGCTATGGCTTAAGAGAATACTATATATATAGTATTACCCTATACGCTAGAGGGTTAGCTATTGGCGCTTATATTAGATATTAACGGTTATCGATTATTACCTCTATAGAATATTCTATAAATATACGACCTCTACAATATTTATTTTCAACTTTACGGACTATTAATATGCCATATTCAGGAACGCTATTATTAATAATAATTGTTAATGTGATTATTAAGTAGATAGCTACAAATACTAAATAGATGTTTGCGCCGGTAGTTAATTAGATATTTTTTACTAAACCGACCGCTAATAATATTACTAAGTTAGTATAATTACGACCTTCCCAATTTGGATTAACGTGGTAGCTTTAGGGGATTCTATTACTGGATATACTTATGAAGTTCGATTTTGACTGGGTGGTGTAGATTACGAGATTTTAGCGTATTATTAGTTCAGAAGCCTAGTCAATAGGTGGTCAATGCACCTGTTGAAGCAGGTTCAGAAAGATTATAATAACACCGCTAAAAAAGGGCTTGCCGAACACGCTCTTAGTTTCTGGGCACTCCCCCCAACTTCCAAGTACCGTCTTGTCCCTCTTGGCGCTCGGGTGGATCGTGGGATTGCGGGCGTCGACCGCAACACGGAGCGGGGTCGTGTATGGTGCCGGGCGACGTTAGTGTGGGCGGCTGACGGTTGAAACCAATCTGAAAATGGCTTCAGGTGGGTGTGACCAGGTGCACCTCCTTGGCCAAGATACTAAGCCAACACTACGGAGATATTCGTCGTCCTACTCCGAGTTGTTCATCGGTTTCAATCCTTACCTTTCAGTTGACTCCCTCCAGTATACAAGACAACAGGATACGGACGGCAACCGTAGAGGTACCTCCTATTTCCCGAAAAACGGACAACTTGTCCTGTCACATGCGGGGGAAGAAGAGGTTGCTCATTGCCACATTGTCGTGGGATTACCAAGCAGAACCTAGTCGGATCGGCATCGATGGCCGCGTCTGTCATTGTTTTCCGTCGTCGGCATGTCCCCTCTGTTCCCCACTCGACCCCATATCATTTCCCCGCGAGCCTCCCCCGCATTATCATGGCGGAAAAGGGGGTCAGCCAGTAAGCTTAAAGTCCGCTCCAGGATCACCCACGTCACCCCGCCGTTGGTCGATGCTTTCCGTCCAGAGTTAAGCCGAGCTTGAGCGCAGCCAATCACAAGTCTCCACTCTGTCCTTGGACTAGGATCGTTAGGAGCCTCTTCTCGACCATCAAGGATTATTGACCGCAAAGGTGTATCGATCGGATGAAGGGGTTCATGCACATTGGACAGGTTCCTCGAAGAAAGAAAAAAAGAAACGAGGAGAGACACGAGAGGCCAACAGTTGGCGGCTACAACAGCCCCATTGGATGTCATAATGCAGCGCTTACCCCGCATTTTCCTCAGGTCTCGAATTCCCCCAAAGTCCACCCCTTGTTCCACCCGTTCGCCCATTCATCATCATTCATCGCATCCATTGTCATCATCCAATCCTCGTGCTCCCAACCACCATGCTCTTGAAGAGGTTAATCGGTATTACTCAGATGCATATAAGGAGCACCGATGGTCTGACATCGGCTGCCTCGACATTGTTTTCTGGCTTTCGCTGAGAAGAACAAGGAGCCTTGTTGGAGTTCCGGTTTAAAGTTCAACGCTCGGGGTAATGATCAGCGAGGCGCCTTGTTCAAGGGGTGGAGTGTTGACCATGTGCGATGCCGCTGTGGACTCTCTGTTTCTGACGACACGACAACACCAACCTCAACAATACCCAACCCCCATGCCAGCTAAAGTCCAAATGCTGCCTTGACGGCGATACTTCGGATTCGGCGCCCTTCCCCACGGACGGATACATATGCAGCCACGAGGCGTCATCACTTCCGGCTCTCCGAGATCCTTCCCTCTCTCCGGAGCATGGGGGCCATGTGCGGGATGGCGGTGCCCAATCCAGACGCCATGCCTACCAACCAGTGTCAACTTTGCTTCGTCTAACTTATCACGGTCATAATTGTACATATGACGTCCTATGGCACAAGGCCATCCCTATACCAACCGTAACCAACGAGCCTCCAGGTTTCTATAATATGGACCAAGTAAATGGGAAGAAGGCTTAAAAGGCAACCCGCAATCGAACCATATGGGATGGATGTCGTTGTAGATGTTTGATGGACTTTGGTAGGAAGCAACTCAAAACCCTCAAGCAAGATTGAAAGACTATATCAACACCAAAGTCACCGGTGATCACGAATGCTTGGAATCCTCCACCTTGCCTTTACCTACCTTAGAACGTGGCATAGGTAGGTTGAGCAGAGTTCGTGCATCGTACTTTCAAGGACAAGAGATCATACCAAGAGGAGAAATAACAAACATATTGTACCGCACCTGGATGTAGATATAAGAAATGTCTATCCGCCATTAATGACCGGTATTACCTGTCTGTGGGATGTATTGTTTTTTGGAGATCGGTTCCTACTGGAACGACCAGTTGGGTGTCTCGGTGTTTTGTGATCAAGCATGAACAACCTGCTTTGTCATCAGCTCAGTGAGGTAGGCACTCACATGTCAAACCTCTTCCGCTGACTTTGCTGTCGTTGAACCTTCTCAGCATGCACGATTACGAAGTGGAGCCAGCGTCTTGTTAGTGAATGGGGCGGAAGCGCTGGCTAACACGACCCTAACAGTATACCAGCCTTTTAACACATGTAACTGCTAACAGATGTTTAGTTGCCGCTACAACACCCAACACCTAATGTCGGTACTCGGTGAGGAAGGCTCGTCTGCATCACGACCAGCGAGGCAGCTGCGAAGGAAAGAATCGATGGTGAAATTGGGCGGTACCTACTTTATTTTTGCTGTCTGATAAGGCCAACGAAACCTTGAACGTCCGGTTCAGGTTTGCACAGTTTTTGACGTCTTTCCGTTGCGGCCAAATGCCATTTTCTAGCAACCGCCGCCCGTCGCTCTGCATTTTTGACGCGCCTCCCAAAATTTGCCAGCATTGCCTGGACGTTGTGTATCAACCCATTGGGGCTAGAAATAAGGGCAAAATTTTTCTCCGACCAGCTCCTCCAATCCATGTCCGAACACCTCAACGGCCAGCAACCAACGCCGATCCACGACCGACCGACCGCCCGACCGATTGATTGACCCATCTTTATGCCGTAGCATCTTCACGTGTACCATTTACCTCGACTGACTCGATCTCTTCTCGCGGCCGCTGATTGTTCCGGTCGACGGCTCAGGAGGCCGCTGCTCCCTTGCAACAAGGGCCAGAGTCTCCTTCAACGACCGCCGTTCCGTCATCGCGTTCAATGGGTCGAGGTCCTCCCTCTGCTTCACCATGGCCGACCTCAACTTGACAGCGGCCATCGAGGCTAACCTCCTCGCTGCCCTGAGCAAGCATACCGAAGAGGCTAAGAGCCCGGCTCCAGCTCCGACTCCCGCTCCGGGTCCAGCTCCCGTTCCCACGCCGACACCAGCGTCGATACCGACCCAGGATGTTGCTCCTCCTCCTCAACCAGTGCAGCAACAACCACAATCACAGCAGCCACCGCTGAACCACTCCGTACAGGCGTCTCAAGGACCCCCAAGTCAGACAATCCAGCCGCCCCAGCAGCACTTGTCACAAGCGTCCTCTCTCAGCCATGCTCTTCAGCAGGCTCTACAAAGCTCGAATCCCCCGTCTTATCAGACGCCCTCTACCCACCAGCCTCAACCCCCCTCGACGACCGCTGCGCCGATCTCTCAACCACTTGTACAAGCCCCGCCGCCCCAGCCGAACCCTCATGCAGCTTCCAACGTGCCTCCCCAGGCGTCTCCCGTCCTGGCAGAACCTTCGAAAAAACGGTCTCGTAGCCCCGATCCCGAACAAGACTCGAATGGTAAACGCCCCAAGCTTGAACACGTTGGTGAGATGGACCAGGACATACCGTATGATATCAAGGTAGCCCTCGCAACTGCGCTTGGCGATTTCGAGAAACAACACGGCCAAGTAGGCAACGATAGCTCGCTCGAAAACCCATCCGGGTCCAGCTCAGCCCCTCCTCCGGCACCCGCCATCTCTCTGTCTGCTACAGCTACACCGATGCCCGAGAAAGGAGGAGATAAGCTTATGAAGGCATCATCGAACTCGACTTATATGATCCGTTCAATGAGTCTTCCGGTTCTCGGAAACCTGGCTGTTCAGATTCTGCTCCGATTATCGCAACAACCACGAAACGAAACATTATCACTTCTTTCCGAAACCGATGCCGAGTTTCGAAAACACTATGACTTGTTGACAGAGTCGTTCAAGTTAGCCAGAAGGGGTTTCTCCGACAGTCCTGTGCTTCTCCCAGACGAACTAGAGATCAACGATTCAGAGGACCGCGAGACGATTCGGGTTGCAAACCTAGCTACGACGGCCATCAGTGTATTCGGTGCAAATGATGTTGCTTGCAAGGATTTGGACGACTCTTTCTTCTCCATCTTCGTACCAGAAGATGGCGAGTTTAAAGATACTTTGACCGACCTGCTCCTTAGCCTCAAAACGCAGGCCTTGCTGGATTCCTTGGATGAGCATGCGACTCCCCAGCAGGTTACAGAACAACTCGAAAAGTTCTTCCCCGATAACTTCGAAGACTGGCTCAAGCAACGCAATCTTGAGGTCGTTACAGACACTGATGCGGACCAACTTGCCGTGAAGGTCAAGGAACGCAGGGAGCTGTTGTCCACAGTCGCCAACAATGAACAGCCCAAAAGTATGTTTGAACCCATGCCTTGTCAGTGAATGACATGCTGACGTGCAAAAGAATCTCTGGAGAGCAAGTACCCATCCGATACTTTTCCCGAGACTCTCTGTGCCTTTTTGCAAAGCCACATTGGGGTCGTCGTTGAATACGCCGAAGAATATGGGGTCAAGATTCCAATCAGTGAGGAGCCGATTGTATCGGACCCAGTTCAAAACGGCAACAACGTTCAGGACGAACACGCCGACTTGGCCGCCCTTTTGCAGTCCAAGATTGTCGAGAACGGCGAGCTTAAAGACTTCCATACGGGAAACCTCAACAATGAGGCGTCCGTATCGGCTGACGACAATTTCGATCTAAGTAAACTTATCGAGCAATCTCTCCCCGACCATATCAATGGAATGAAAGACGGGCTTCTGGAGCAAAATGGGCAGGGTGAATCAAGCGGGCTTTTTGACACAAAGGATCTGGCATCCCTCATTGCTGAAAAGCTAAACGATAATCTTGAGACACCGGTTCACGGGATCCCAAATGTGCCACAGAACTCCTATGAAGATACCATGCGGGAGAACCAAGGCCAAGGTAAGGCTGAACACACCATACTGACGGGCCCCAAGACTAACCTTGACGTGTCAGTACACCCCCAATATCATAACCTCAATCAGCTACAAACACCGACCTACCATCAGTATCCTCAAACATCATCTTCTAATATCGGAATGGGGACAACGGGGGAAACGCTACCGCCTAACCAGTCCTGCCCCACCTCGGTTCTATACGAGAAGGCAAGGCAGGCCGCTGTCGCCAAGTCCTCGAGCACGACTCGCAGGGAGGGACTGCATTCGACTCGCCGACCATGGACCCCCGACGAGGAAAAGGCTCTCATGATGGGTCTCGACATGGTGAAGGGTCCTCATTGGAGTCAGATTCTTTCACTCTTCGGGGCTCATGGGTCCGTTTCGGACATTCTCAAGGATCGCACGCAGGTCCAGCTCAAAGATAAAGCAAGGAACCTCAAACTGTTCTTTCTGAAGACAAACTCAGAGATGCCCTACTATTTACAAAGTGTGACGGGTGAGCTCAAGACTCGGGCGCCCGGACAGGCTGCTCGCAAGGAGGCGGAGGAAAAGGCACGCCTGAATGCGGAGGATGAACAAGCACGGTTGGCAGGTATCATGACACTGGGTGGTCTGCATAATAACCACCATCAAGTTGCCGGCAGTCCGATTGCGCCCTCTCCTGCTCGTCCTCACACCGCAACTCCTGGACCAGGGACTGGTCATTTGAATGGGACGCCCACGCCCACGCCCACGCAAGTACCGACAAACCAGCCTGCGGCTCTTGCCCCTGTCCCGATCTCGCCAATGGTCAAGAGTGAGCCCGTGGACCACTCAACGCATCAGGTCAGCAACCTGCCCCAGATTCAGCCCGCCCCGGCTCCTCAGTCGTTGCAGCCGGCGTTGAAGCCTCAGCCGCAACCTCAGCCGCTACACCAGCAACAGTCACAGCAATACCTACAACAACACCCTCAAACAAACGCTCAACAACACCCACAACAACACTCACAGCAACACCCGCAACCTCTACAACCACTTCGACCTCAACAGCAACCTCAACAGCTACCCCAATCCCAAATGCGCTCTCAAACTCCCCAGACGCTGGCGCCAGCTCCAGCGCAACAATATCAAAAACAACAACAACAACATCATCATCATCAGCCGCAAGGGCAACAGCAGCACCAACAGCTGCACCAGCAGCAGCAATCACAACAACATTTACAGCAACACCAACAGCCGCAGGCGCAACCGCAGCCACAGGTACAGGCACAGCCACAACAGCAGCAACAGCAACAGCAGCACCATGTGGCTACGACTCCAGTATCAACACCAACTACGACGACGGCAACACCAGCAACAGCAGCTGCTCAACCCCATGTCAGTGTTGCCGCGACAGAGTCAGCACCGGCAAGTTCGACGTTAAGCAATCAAGCCACACCGAGCTTTGGACTCCCACCCATACCTCCGAACCACCACTCAACACCGGATCAAGCTCAAGACGTCAAGTTGTTTGAGACACTCCAGGCTGCAATTGGTGCAACTTCACCTGCTCACGAGAGCCATCCAGCTGCGACTGTGTCAGAAACATCTGCTGGGTAGAATCCAGACCCTGGGAGTGGTGAGGACGTGGAGAATGGTATAATTGAGTTGGGGAAGCGTTTGACGGCAGCGGCCTTGTGAACTACAGGTGCATGATGGATGTGAGTACATGCGGGCTTGAGGAGATTTTTTTTCTTTCTTGGCACGAAATTGCAATGATTAAGGGATTGTCATGATCACCATTTTTAGGCGTTTAGGTTTACAATATGGGTGGCAGGAAGAGAGTGTTGGGCGTTTTTCAGACATGCTTCGAATTCTCAGGGGCGTTAGGCCACTGGTGGTTATACCAAAGAGACGGTGATACCAAATATGGGTTAGACAGTGCTGTCTTTTACCTTTTATAGCGGAGGTTTTTATTCTGATAGCGAAACATTAAGAAGGGCTTTCAATCACCTGCTCTCTCGTGTTGTCCAAACCGGCGAGGTGTGCAAGTTGCATAAAGCTTTTATGCGTGACCCCCTCTTTATGTACCTCTGCCTGCTAAACTTGCTTAACGCCGAGGTTGATGCCGAGTTGGCCAAGATTGGGCAGTGAGTTGACTCATGACTGGCCAGTGGGCAGCAGGGAATGTGCGGGGCTAAGCTCGGACTTCCGACTTAAATAGCTGATCATGCCCAGCACACTTTCCCACACTCTGTTGGACTCGACCATCCATGTTCGTCAGCGCCAGGAAGGAGACATCGAAGCCAGAAGGTGCCTGTAAGAAATTTTACTGGGAAAGCACTGCCAAAATCCAGGCAACGAGGGGCCTTGTTGAAAATTATTCCATCCTTCCACGCTCAACATTCTTCAACTCCACCTTTCCTTGGGACTTGTTCTGTTGCTGTGGACATTTTTATTTTCCAGCGAACGCCACGTTTCACATCATTTGCTCCATCAAACCCCTACCCCGGATCTTCTGGAAGGTCTGGGTACCTGTTCCTTGGACGGAAGCACACGACGCGAGGCGAGACAGTGTAGCTCCCACCTTCGGATTGAAGGGTCCTCAGGTGTTTATCAGATCGATTGATAAGAGGACAGGCAACTGGCAAGGAGAGCTCGGTTTCGGTGATCGAATACACGTCCGCAGCACTTACCAAAGCATCCCCAACGCACGCAACGTCATTCTCATCCGATCCTCCGGTTCCATTCCGACAACCGTTTTCCTCTTGTCTCTCCCCTGTTCCACCCGCCGGCAAAACACCGTCAATCATTGACTGCACTGAGCAGACCCTGCCATCCACATCAGGCTGAAGGGCTGAAGGGGCCAAGACCCACCAAAATCTCGGCCGTCTCCGAGTCCAGGTCCGAGCCGCCCTCGTTTTTACTCTCGGACCTCCGCTGCCCTCCATCATGTCGGAGCCTAGTCGGGGCAGCATCGAACCTAATAGTGTCGAGCGCAGTGTCGAGCGGAGTCACTCCCCTGCCGCCGGCCACAAGCGCGACGGGGTCAGCCGAGACCGAGACGAGTCTCATGACCCGGACGACGACCATCACGACGGCAATGGCTCCCGCCCGCCCCCACGCAAGAGGCAGCGTGTCCGTCTCTCGTGTCTAGAGTGCCGCAGGAGGAAACTCTCGTGTGACCGGGAGTTCCCTTGCTCTCGCTGCATGCAGTCCGGCACCCCGGAGCGTTGCGAGTACGAGACCCGGCCCGGTCTGGCGCCGCCGAACAAGCTCGGCCTGTCTCATTCGGCCCTGGCCGGCTTTGACTCCAGGCTGTCGTTGCCCAATGGCGGCAGCGGCGACTCGTCTTACTACCGCAAGGATGCCCGCGAGTCTGAGAGGATCCGTCGTCTCGAGCTGGAAATTGCCCAGCTGAAGAACATCGTACTCAAGCAGCACGGCTCGCTTGATGGTAGCACCGTTACGGACAACTCACCTCCCGTGCAGAAACTTCACACCGCTCCTGACGAGAACCTAGAGATTGGGGCGCCGTTTGGGTATCATAACCAGTTTGCCGATGCTGTGAACGATGAGTCCAAGGAGGAGCTGCGATTTCTCCGTGGCAAGGAGTTCAAGACCCGGTATTTTGGTCCACATAGCGCATCCCGTGCTTTCTCGGAGGTATGTATTGGAGTCGTGACAGTGAGAAAGTGGGGTGTCCTTCTTGCTAATCACCGTCTCTAGCTTGCTGGTCTTTGTCACTTTATGAAAGAAACATCTGAAGAGTTCTTCCGTCCGTTTGCCATTCCTAATACGAAGGACCGACGACGGCGTGCAGAGGAGAGAGAGATCCGGTTCCATCAAGCGGATACGTCGCTCGAGTCTTTGCTGCCGTCTAAGGAGAGGACGGATTCCCTTGTGACCATCTACCTTGATCAATTCGAGCAGATTCATCGCATCGTTCACATCCCCACCTTCCGCAGGGACTATGATAAGTTTTGGGACCCTGCTCAAACAAGATGTGCCTCCTTCACTGCTCTCATCCTGGCCATCTTGGGCGTTTCCAGCTGTCTCGGTTCACACTTTCCCCAAGAGTTCGACAAAATGATCAGCCGCTCCCATGCTGATGCACTCAAATGGATTGATGCCGTTGATGAGTGGCAGCAAAAGCAGAGTCAAAAACATCGTCGTCTCATCCATTATCAGATCGCATGTCTGGTGTACCTCGCAAAACGCGTCAACACGGTGAAAAAGAAGCGATTCTGGAAAGGAGCTGGCGCCATGTCGATGGATGCCATCTCGGTCGGTTTGCATCTCGAGCCCAGCCATAATATTACCCCCTTCAACCAGGAACTGAGACGCAGGATATGGGCAACCATCCAGAGCTTTGATCTGCAAGCATCTTTTGATATGGGCCTACCCAGCATTCTCGGCGCCTTACATTTCAACGTCGAACCTCCCCGCAACATCGACGATGACGAGTTCGACGAAAACAGTAAAGAACTTCCTCCTTCCAAACCACCCACCGAGTATACTTTTTCCTCCTACCAACATCTCAGCCGGCAAAGCCTCGACCTTCGTCTCGAGCTTATCCGCGTCCTCAATGGCCCAAGCGAGAAACTCGATTACGACCAAATAATTCGCTACACCAACGAGATCAATCAAGAGATCGACTCGTTACCCTCATGGGACGTCACCGAAGCCGATGCTCCCACCGGCGTGTTGAAGAAACCTCTTCTCGCCTACACTCTCTTGCACATCCAACTTCGACAATTCATCATCAAGCTCCATCACCCCTATCTGAAACTTCGCAAAGACAACTCGAAATATCAATACTCCGAAATAATCTACTACAACGCTGCGCGCGACATGGTCCTTCTCAATGACAAGCTCGCTCAGCAAGGCATCCGCACCCTCAACTACCTCCGCGAAGACTGCCTCACCCTAGCCATCAACCTCTGCAGCGTCACAATGCTTCAGCCCCGCGGCTCCACCAACATGATCATGATTAACTCTCAGCACACGCTGCAGCTTCTGGAGAAGTGCTTGTCCATCAAAGAGGATCGCATACTCTGTTGCGGCAACAACGAACCGTGGGGGTACTCGATTATGTGCGCTGCGGTTGGATTGCTGGAGGCACATCTGGGGGTCAAAACAACAGAGCAAGCAAAGGCGACGAGCGCTGAGAGGTTTATCAAACTGCATTGTAAACTCGTGCCGATGGCACCTGGAGGACCGGGTGGGTCGAATGAGAGTCAGCCTAGCAGTAGTCAGGAACGCGGACAGCAGACGCCGGCTGGGCAGCGTGGGCATCAGTGTGGTGCTGAGAAGCAGGCAGACGCGGAGAGGCCGCCACAGCAGCCTGGACAGGCTGGAGATAGGGGATCTGTGACGCCTGTGAATGGTCAGCCTTCTGGTGTCTCTGGTGTTGGGAATAACAAGGTAGCGCCGAATGGTCTAGCGACGCCTTCCAATTCGCAGTTTCTGAATGGGATAGCGGCGGATTTTATGGCACAGCGATTAAGGGTATGTCCTTGTCCCCCTCCCTCTCTCACACACATGAAAGCTAACCGTCAAATGTTCTATCAGCCCCCAACGCCCTTCCTTCAGCCCGGAAACACGCAACAGCAGCAGCCGCCACAAGCACCCATGCCACCAGCCTCGCTCGGTCCGGCGGCAGTAGACATTCCAGGCACACCGTGGAGTGTAGTTCCCGGTGTTGGCCTCACAGGTTCTGGTGGCGAATGGTCTACCGCTGGGGGTTTTCAGTTTGTGAGTATCTCTCCTCTGCCTATCGTACATAATATTTTTTTTCCTCATCTTCATCTTCCCTGGTATGCGCGCGCAACATGCTGATCAGATACAAACCAACATAGCCCAACACCATGAACTCCGAATTCGACATCAACCAGTTAGGTGCTAGCATGGGCGAACTTTGGCCGTCTGACTTGTGGGACTTGATGTAACATCCATGGGCCTAATCTTCAGAGAACGAAATGCGGCAACAATTAGGAGAAGGACTTGAGCAATAAGAAAGAGGAGGGACTGAGCAATTGTCATTGAGCGAAGGAACTGAGCAACCAAATGATAACCATGGGGGGGTTAGCGGACAAGCCAGGAGAGAGGCAGCATATAAACATGCCTTGGGTTAAAGAGGAGGCATGACTTGAAGAAGAAGAACAAGCGCAATGGACCATGAAAAAAAGCAAGAAACGAACGTGAAGACAAAATTGGGGTTGGACAGCGAAAAAGACGGAGGGAAGAGAAAATACACTAGAAAGAATGGATCACACGATAGGATTGAGGGAAGAAAACTTTAGGATAATGTATACTTTGGAGTAGTTATCAATGACGAGGATGGGGTGCGAACGTTGAGGTGCGTCTTTGGGTTGTGGTGTATATTGGATATAGATACCGTTGAAAGGGCACAGCGGAGAAGAGCGACATTAGTTGATACACATGAACAAGGAAACAACTGACATAACTTGAATCACCGTCTCATTGCAATGATGTTTCTGTAGATTTGGTTCGTTCGATTGGGAAGATGCAACAACAGATCTTTCAAAGAAAAAAATGAAAAAGAAAGAATCATGAAAAGAAAGGGAATACGGAAGAAATCAAAAAGAAAAACAGGGAAAAAAAAGAAATGCTGGTCTCTCCCGCCGGGAATTGAACCCGGGTCTCGAGCGAATCGAACTGATGTTCAAGCTTGACAAGCTCACATACTGACCACTATACTACGGAAGATGCTACAGTTGTGTGGCAACTGTCGTAGTTCGTTGTTGGAAGCAGGCCAGAATTCTGACATTATATAGCCAAAGTGAAGAGGGGCAGTAGCACCTTTACAACATCCTCCGCGAAAGAGAAGAATGGAAGAACGCACCCAGGACACTCCGTAAGTTTGTACACATCGCTTTCTGAAAACAATCTTTAATGTTCTGCTTCGCGTTTAGATTGTCCAAAACTCTCAAAATTGAATTTACTCTGAGTTGGAGCTGTGTAATGCAGTCGTGATTGCAAAGTGACGTGAA